GGGAGCGCGTCGCGTCCTCTCCCTCCGTCTCCCGGGACACGCGTGACCCCCGAGGGGGAACGAGGACATCCCGCCTCCCCCGCTCCAGGTCCAGGAACCGCTGCCGAGCCGCACCGAAGTCGATCCGAGCCCCGTCGATGGGCCCGGGGTCCGTGGGCGTGACGGGGCCCGATCCTTCGGTGGGCGCGTTCGTGGGGCCGCTCCGATCCCGCCCCTCACCGAGCTTGAAAGTCGCCTTCCTCTTTGGGGCTTGCTTTTGGATGATTTCCTTCCTCAGTCGTTTCTCGTCTTCTTCCCCAAACGCGCCGCGGCGGCCTCCTGCCTGGACTCGGTACGGTGAATCCGAGTCCCGAAACAGGCTCTGTGTTTTTTGGCCGCTGGCGTAGCTCCGCACTTGAAAGGCCCCGTCCTCTTTCAAGGTGGTGAGACGAAGCTGCCGCTGAGGCGAGAGCATCCGCGCCTCGTTCAGCTCCGCTTCGGGGCTCATCGGGTCTTCCGCGAAGCAGTAGAACCCGTCGCGGGATCCCGAGCTGCCGCCGGGACCGTCGTCTTCGCCCCCGCTCGGACCCGTCGCGCTGCGTAGGTCGCGCGGATGCAGCGGGGGGGACAGAGACTTCAGCACCCACCTCCTGGAAGCGTCGTCCATGGCGCGTCCGGCGCGTCGACGGAAACTAGGCGGAGTCACGAGATCCTAACGGACGGAGGCAAAGGGGGCGTTACTAGGGCGACAACGGGTGTCCTTGTCACCGTGACAATCCAGAGATGTTCCTCCGGTGTCGACGGAGGACACGTGACTCGGCGACGACAGAGGGGACGCGACGACGTTAGCCGCGGCCTCAGTTGACACGTGCGGCCGGCAGATAAGATGAGCGAAGGAGCCCCGCCCCCTCTGCCGGCAGCTGATAACGTGGCGGCGAGCCGGCCGACGTCAAGTGACGCGAGGTCGGAGTTCGACGCGAAAGGAGCGGCCCGTCGCCCCCGGCGATACCGACGCTTCGAGCCGCGGCCGGCGACGCGTCGATCCGACCGAGCGCCGACGTCCGAGAAGCGCGAGTCTCACCCGAGCCGAGTCGACCTCGTTGAAGAAAAGCCGAGCGGGCGAGCGAGCGAGCGACGACCGCGCCAACTTCACCTTCTCTCCTCCTCGGCTCGGGCTCCGCCCCCTGGCCGAGGCCTCGCCCCCTCCCCGGCGCTTCAATGGCAGCGACGACGACGGTTGCCGTTTTTCTTAATGATTGACAAGCGTTCCTCTTCTCGGTTTATTTGCTGCTCTCGCTCCTCTTGCTGTCCGCCAACACCAGAAAGTTGAGCTTCGCAGGAGACGTTCGGCATTTGTTTGCCACGTGTCGAAATGAGCCCCGGGGCCAGGAAATGGACGTCTTTTCACATGTGTGTGTGTATGTGTGTGTGTGCGCGCGCGCGCGCGTGCATCTCTATATATAGATAGAATGCTCGATAGATACACAGAGAGAGAGAGAGAGATCTCAGTGAGAATGGCGTGGTGAGACTCGTTGGGGTTCTGAGAACAGATTATTGGAGAAAAAAGAAATTGGGGAGTTGATTCCCCATTGAATAATTTCAATGAAATATGAATCAAAGTGACGAATACGACAAAACAGAAAAGATCCAAGTTCAGGATTGGAATTGATCACAATTTAATATTTCCAAATGAAAAACGATACAAAGCAAAAGTGCACAAAGGAAAAAAAAAACATTCACGGTCCACATGAAATGTCGTTTGGGGAAACGTCGCACACGTTGAAGCGAACACATGTCACGTGGCTTTTGTGATTTTCATCTTGGAGGATGACGATTTGGATTTCTCGGGACGTACGCGCGTGAAGTGCCGAAGCCGATGCCAACGAGCCGCTTGCGGAAGGTGCGGACGCGGGCGTGCCGCGTTTGAGCAGCGCCCCAAAAAATGCAGCCCATATGGAAAGCGAGCCTTTGCTGGACTGGCCACCATTCGGAAGCCCTCAATGGCGGCATGCGGACCGAAGCCAGGCGGAAGGACGTGAAGGACGTGAAGCCCCCCCACAGACTCACATCACGCTGCAGCACTCGCAGGCTTTTTTCCCCTCGGCCGCGGGCTCGGCAGCGCCCCCGGCGGACTCGCGCT